CAATAATCACTGTACCTATACTGTAAATCGTTGTTTTCCGATGTACATATTATTGTCCAGAATATCCCTCGCGGTTTCTATGAACTGAAAAAAACCAGCTAAATTCCGGTTAAATAATCGAACCGAAATTCAACCGTTTTTTTTTCGTTAAAACCCGGTTCAAAAGCAGTAAAATAACTCGCGTATTTAACTGAATATTCACAGTTAAATCTCGGTTGAATCCCGGTTAAATATTAGGTATTTAACTCAATAAAAAAAGTTAAATATAAGTTAAAAACTGGTAAAATAACTAAAATATTTTTTATATATCCGGACTTTGGGGCATTTCTCTTCAACTTTTCTTCTAATCCCACTCCTGACACTAAATGTAAAAAAAAAGAATGAGAACAACTTATATTAAAAGTTCGTTTATTAAAAGTGACAGATTCAAATACAGAATCAAAGACAAGACGACTAATGTTAGCCAGTCTTAGTCCTAAACTGGAGATAAATAAACAAGAAATACTAAAATCCAACAATTATAGATGTTTTTCAATTGTTGATAACAATTACAGGCTGTGAAAAACAAATAGAATCCGCGAGTGAATATAGAGTTATCAGAAACCTCATTGAGTCGATGTTAATTATGTTTCACCGAAAAACTTAAATCCAACATTTATTGAAGTTTTTTCATTTTTCAATAACAATTACAGGCTGTTATAAATGGATTTTAGCGGCAAAAGTAGTTATAATATTAATTATTTAATTATAAAATAGAAAGACAGACATACGACAATTAGCAGCGAGTTCTGGCACTTCACCGGCAAGCTCTATCCCCTCTCTTCAAACCCAAGCGAGTAGCTCATAATTTATAAATATCAACAATAGAAGAGTTAATGTATTAGCACTGCAGACAGAGCACTAGATTTCTAATTTGTCGAACCGAGTTCAAACCCAGTCACAGCCAATTTTTTTTTCTCTCTTTTTTCTAATGATATACAAGCGATATTGTAGCGTACGATGGTGCATCGTTTGCACCTCGAGTTGCAAAAGTCAAGTTGTGTAATATTCGTTAATATTTCACGACTTGAGACTGGTATCGAGGTCCCGAAAAATTAAAACTGCAGCTGGGTCAATAAACTACAGAGAGAGCAACAAAAATCGAGACTGGAAAACTTTGATGTTTTGCAAGAGGGTCAATGTTTCGTCAAGAAGACTAGCTCAGGCGAAACTTGATACTCCGTTTCGACATTGAATCGTCAGCAAAATATTCATGATTTATAAGAATAAATTCATTAGGTCACTATTCATTGAATTAAGTTCAGCGATTAATATATTGAAGTCCAAGAAAATTAGAGAAAAATTAAATAATATACCGGACATAACAAGTTGTAGGATTTTTTTTTAAACAATCAAAAATAATGAACAACAAAAAACAGTTGCAACGATCCGCGGCGAGTTGCGGCGCTTCGCTGGCAAGCTTTATCCCCACTCTTCGTACCTAAGCCTGCAGCTTATGACTTATAAACATATAAATATCAAATGAACACATGTTAGCTCTGTGGTCGCCAAAGACACTACAACTGACTTTACTAGACCACTGGCACTGATGAGAGTAATTTTGATGGTTTAATAATGTTCACGAGAGTTGTCTGAGCCTGGTCGATCGTATTTTTTCTTTACGAAAGGTGAGCTGACTGCACAAAACCGCGATTTGACTGCGAACAATTATACAGAGATGACCGCGTGATTTGCCTTCTGGGCCATGAAAAAATACTTCCCCATGATTGGTCCAGTGAGTTGACTGACGCGCCGGTGGACAAGTCCGGCATTAACAATTTTCAAATATTCTGAGACTTGCTGACTTGGGGCCCTCCAAGTCAGAACAGAACTATTTTCAGGAACCTTCCAGCATCCATCCTGTTTTTTGTGCTTTTCTCTTATCATAACAGTCCATTAGTTTTTAGTTTTTTCATCCGGCCGCCTCGAAGTCAGAACATTTGGTCCTTCGCGCCGGATAAGAACGGCTTGGATGCAAATTGAACAACTCGAGAAGGTTCTAGTGCTTAACAATTTTGTGAATATTTTGTAAAATATTCTGAATAAAGTGCTTGTGATTCAGTTAAATTCAGACAACTCTCAGTGTTGGTGTGTAAACAACCTTACAGACAAAAGGTGTTTACTCATTCCAGTGCCCAGTGACACTCATCTTTATTATTGTAATATAGTGGTGCCCAGTCTAGCCAATTTGGTCTTCTCTTTAAACGCTTGGCGCACATTTTGGTTAGAGTCAAGATAGCCTTGACGCAGTCAACTCACGGGTAAATAAACATAGTATTTAGTTAGTTTAGTGTCCTTAGTGTGAGTGTAGTCACCTCACAAGATTATTAAGAGCTCGTAGACTCATTCAATAAATTGTGTGACATTTTCGGTGTTGTGACTTTAGTGAAAGCCCACCATTAGTGTCAAGGTGACATCAGATGACTCGTGTACTAGTGTGTACAGTTCTTAAGGAGAATCGTACTCTCGTTTTTGATCCCAGACAACTCACCTAAGTGAATCATGGCAGACAAACGTGTAATTTCTCCTGCCAAGTCGGACTACGTAGATGTAGCTGACGACAATGACTCAATAGAGGGTGTTAGTGATATGGTGGAAAGAGTGAGCATCGACCAAGTGTCATCAAACATTGCAGGCAACTCTCAGGCCGAAGGTAGCACCGAGACCACGTTAAAGGTGCCTGAAAGAACATCTCCAGCGCGTGACAGGTCAAAGTCACCACCAGCAATCGCCAACACAACACAAGTCAAGCTGACGTCTCAGATGGCAAGGTACCAACAGCTCCAGTTCATGTATCAGGATGTGCTTGAGCTAGTAAGACAGCCTGCGCTCATGACAATGAGTTTAATTGAAGATAAGCTCGCACAACTCAATGAGCTGTAGACATACTTTGTAGTAGAGCACGAGGCATTAGGTGTTGGGTGCCGGCTAACACTATTCAAGCACCCATACATGACTGATAGAGTCTATGAAAGTGCGTTGCGACTTCACTATCTTACCGAGTCAAATCTGAATTGCACGAAAAGGACATTCAGAAGTCACTCGACGAGTACAGATCATCAACTCAGCAGGCAACTCAAGTCATTTTTCAGCAGGCAACTCTCCCGGTAATAACCCTTCCGACGTTCCAACCTGTCAGGACCACCATCGCAACTTATCAGGCATGCCATCATGAATGATGATGGTTATGAGCCAGCTTGGAAGCAACTGAAAGAGAGGTATGATAACCCTGAGCAACTCATATTCTCTCCCATAAAACATCTGTTTAGCATTCCAACACCATCGTCCAAATCAGCTGAACAGTTAGACAACTTAATAGGCATTGTGAAGCAGAACTTGGATGCACTCAGGGCACTCAAAGTTCCAGTCGACTCAGCCGACTACTCTCAATCTATTTGGTGGCTAGTAAACTCGAGCAACATCTCCGAGAGTCCTGGGAGTTAGAACGGAGCAGATCACGGTCTCCAACTACACTCAACAGTCTACTCAATTTCATCTCAACCAGGGCACGTGCGATGGAGTCAGCTCAAGATGCAGCGCGTCAGGCTAAACGATGGCCTACTCCAGTGATCACGAAGAAGTCCAGGTCACCACAACAGTCTACTCGCCAGCAGACAATTCGATCGCAGACGACTCGAGCCTCCAGGCATGGGGCTCAAAAAAGACAGGCTGATTACCCATGTGACCAGTGCAACAGTCGAGATCATTACCTAGTAGACTGCCAATCATTTGCAGCTCTCTCTCAACTGAAGCGATACAACCTGGTCCTCCCAGCACGGTTGTGCTTCAATTGTTTAGGCCACCACTCGATCCAGGTGTGCCAGTCTGACAAGCGGTGCAGTGTGTGCAATCAAAAGCACCACACAATGATTCACACACCCCGAACAGCATCTTTACGGAAGAGAGGGTATGGCCCAGGCCAAGAACCGCAGCCAACTCAACCAGTTCAACAGCCATCAACCTCCCAGCAGTGAGGTGATGACGTGCCATTTCCACAGCCGACTCCAGATCACACTCATTCATCTGAACAGACTTCTCACCAGGTAACTCATCATCACAGTCAACTCTCTGCAATCAACTCTGATTATGCTTCAGTCAACTCGTCAAGTGGTGGTGTGATCACTTAACGTGCAGATAACTCAACAATCAATGGTGATGAGTTATGTCAATCTATATGTACTAACAGGAGTAAAGAACACTTCTCTGATGACTCGACGGAAGGGAGGACCTTAGCACATGAGGTTTTAGCCTCGGGAGGGTTGAAGGTCCTGAGAGAAGAGTCAGAAGGTCTCGTTCAATCTCCTACAGCTGAAAAAAAGAGTCAACCTCACACTAGTCTCTTTCTAGACGACTCACATGATTCAACAATCACCAAGAACAATACAGACAACTCAGAGATACATGGAAGATTCTTTTCAGCACTTAGAGCAGCAGAAGAGATATGTATTAATGAGTCTTCAGGTCAATCAGACAGCTCAGCAGTCTTACTCGCCACAGCCAATGCAGTATTACTCTTAGACTACTCTCAGCTTCCAGTAAGACTCCTGATAGACTCAGGGTCTGAGCTGTCCTTTATCTCATCAAGTGTGGTAAAGACTTATCATCTCCAATGTCGTCCATCAGTGATATCAGTGCTGGGAATTGGTAACGAACCAGCTGTACAAACTAGAGGAGTGACAACAGTGACACTTAGATCAACTCACACACAGGAGCAAGTTACACTTAATGCTCATATACTCAAATGTGTCACTGATACTTTACCAACCAGACAAATCAAGGGAATCAACTGGTCGGCTCTCAACTCTCTTTAACTTGCTGATCCAGACTACTCAACTCCAAGACCCATTGACATTTTAATAGGAGCAGATTGTTATGGTCTGATTGTGAAGGCGGGCATCAAACAATTTCCTCAGTCATCTCTAATAGCCCAAGATTCAATCTTTGGATGGATGCTCATTGGAATGCCACAACAGACAAGATGCTCAAGTCAGAGAACTCATCACGCAGCAAGGGTCAACTCATACCAGCAAGTATCTGATCTCTTGACAAAATTCTGGGTTCAAGAAGAAGTTCCAGAGACCTTAGCCAGCCAACTCAGCCCAGATGATCAATCTTGTGAAGATCATTATGTTACGACTCATTCAAGAGATCAAGATGGGAGATATATTGTGAGAATACCACTCAAGGCATCACCATCTCTTCTAGGCAACTCATCAGCGAGAGCTCATCAGTGTTTACTACACATGATCAGACGACTCACCAAGAATGACTCATATGCACAACTCTATCACAACTTTATGCAAGAATACGAGTCACTGAACCACATGACACGAGCCAAGGCAAGTCCAGTCAACTCTCCAGTGTATTATTTGCCTCATCATGGTGTCTTAAGAGAAGACAGTGTTACTACAAAGCTTAGGGTAGTATTTAATGGCTCTAGTCCATCTTCTAGTGGTCTATCAGTGAACGATATTCAACATACTGGTGCCAAAGTCCAGAAAGACATTGCAGACGTACTCATTTGGATCAGGCAGCATAAATTTGTGTTCACATCAGACATCACCAAGATGTACAGACAAATCAAAGTCCACCAAGATGATTGGGATCTCCAGAGAATCCTGTGGGTGGACGAGCACTCCAAGATCATCCCATATCAACTCACAACAGTCACGTATGGTACCAGATCAGCTCCATTTCTGGCTGTTCGCACAATGATCCAGCTAGTGAAGGATGAGGGTCATAAGTTCCCTCTAGCTGTTGATCCACTACTAAAAGGAAGATATGTGGACGATATTTTTGGAGGTGCTGACACCGTGAGTCAACTGATAGACATCTCAACCCAAGTCAGACAACTCTGCATGGCAGGTGGCTTCCCGTTAGCGAAATGGCACAGCAATTCAATCCAATTTCTTCAATCACTTACAGACAACTCATCAGAAGAGCAGATCCACTCATTTGAGAGCAGCAAAACGAAAGTACTTGGGCTCTCGTGGATTCCAGCGAACGACTCATTTAAGTTCATCTCAAAACTTCCTCGTGAGAAGTCCAAGCTCACGAAGAGAATAATTTTATCAGAAACAGCACAACTCTACGATCCACTTGGATTTCTAGCACCTTTCATTGTCAGAGCAAAGATGTTGCTACAAGAAATCTGGCTAGATAAACTGTCATGCGATGACCAAGCCCCAGATCACATTATCACCAAGTGGACCAGCTTCAGATCAGAACTCTCACACGTTTCAGACCTCTCAATTCCACGATGGTTAAAGATTACTCAGAAATCAACCGTGGAACTTCATGACTTTTCAGACGCCTCACAACTAGCTACGGCAGCAGTTGTTTATATTGCTACATTGAAGAAGATGTCTATTCCTAGACTAGAACTCACCGCAGCATTGCTGTTTGCCAGACTAATCACTTATGTAAGGAACAACTTAGACATTCAGCCAACTCAAATAGTATGTTGGACAGACTCCTCAGTATCTTTGACCTGGATTCAGTCTCACTCATCCCGTTAGAAGGAGTTTGTAAGAAATAGAGTGTCAGCAATTCAAGATCTCACTCCAATTAGCGTTTGGAGGTTTGTACCTGGCAAACAAAATTCAGCGGATTGTGCTGCTCGAGGTATCAGCATATCCCAGCTTCGGAAGCACCCCCTGTGGTGGACAGGTCCACAGTGGTTAACAGCAGACGAATCATCATGGCCAACTCAATCATCAGTGTACGATTCAAAAGCTCAGCAAGAAGAGCGACCAGTGATCACGCTAAATACTCAGACAATTCACTACGATTATCATTGGAATATGATATACAGACATTCTCGTCTAATCAAATTGCTCAGAGTGACTGCAATTTGCTTCAGGTTTAGCCAACTCCTCAGACGAGTACCTCAGTCATCTCTTACCTTTCCTCTCACGCCACGAGATTTAGAGAGAGCAAGGATTTTTTGAATAAAGGCAACTCAAGAATCGTACTTCTCACAGGAAATCAAGCAGATCAACTCAAATTCACTGCCCGTCTCACACCCCCTCGCACGATTGACAGCATTTATTGACCCTCAAGGAGTCATACGTGTTGGAGGGAGGTTAGCAAATGCTAGCTTGGACCAAGAAGCAAAGCTTCCTGCAATCCTAACACAGAAAACTCATCTTTCCAGACTAATCATTGCAGATGCACATGAAAGAACATTGCACGGTGGGACGCAGGCAACTCTGAACCTCATACGATCATCATACTGGATCATCGGTGGACGACTCCCAGTACGATCCTATATTTATCATTGTATGAAATGTGCTCGTTCACGTGGCAAACGAGCGAAGCAGTTAATGGGTCAATTGCCGTTATCAAGAATCACTCCAGCCCGACCATTTGCCGTCTGTGGTGTGGATTATGCTGGTCCCATCACGCTAAAGACTTGGAAAGGCAGAGGCGCCAAAACATCTAAGAGTTGGATGTGCATTGTTGTGTGCTTCGTTACATCTGCACTACATTTAGAGATTGTAACAGATTATTTAGCAAACTCATTCATTGCAGCGTTCAGACGGTTCACCGGACGTCGAGGTGTCTGCAGAACTCTCCACAGTGATTGTGGCACAACATTCCAAGGCGCAGACACGCTCATCAGACAACTCTTCAAGCAGGGGACTCAACAGGCCAGTCAACTCGCAGCTGTATTCGCAAGGGATGGAACTGAATGGAGGTTTAATCTACCAGCTGCACCACATATGGGAGGAAAATGGGAAGCTGCAGTCAAATCAGTAAAGTTTCATCTTAACAGAACTATAGGCGACTCACTCTTCGTAGTAACTATACATGTTGTTTTTGGAAAAATTCAGAAATTAATTTTAAACTTATATGCATAGGTAATTATGACAATTATATGTCATTTTATCGAATGTAAAAGCAAAAAAATTGGCTATGGCTGGGATCGAACCCTTATTGGCAAAATAAAAGTCTGGCGCTCTGACCTCAGAGCTAGCATACATTCACCTGAAATTCTATATTGATAATTTATAAGCTGGGACTTGGGAACGGAGAGTGGGGTTGAACCTTGCCGGCGAAGCGCCGCGGATTGTCTTGACTTTTTTTTATTGTTCATAATCAAAAAATTTTTTTTCTTAGAAAAATCCTACAGATCATACGGATGTATAGAAATAAGTTTTTCTACACTATTAAAATTATTAATTACTCTTCCGTCATTGATTGGAAAAGTCATAAAATTTGGAAAAAAAGTAAAAATAATTTATCATTCTTTTAATATGTACAAATTGCAATAATATGCAATTCGGACAAAGAAAAGAAAGAAGAAAAATTTTGCCATGACTGGGATCGAACGCTGCCCGGCAAAATAAAAGTCTGATGCTCTGACCACAGAGCTAACACGTTCATAATTGATCAATCCATATTCAGAAATCATAAGCTGCTTGCTTGGGTACGGAGAGTGGGAATAGAACTTGCCGGCAAAGCGCCGGAACTCACCGTGGATTCTTTTGATTGTTTTTTGATGTTTATCATTACGAATTGTTTAAAAAATAATCCTACACCTAATGTAGCGATACGTAAGTATGAAGATAGGTTTTTTTACCCTGTTTGATATTTTTTCGTCATTGATAAGAAAAATAATTATGAAAAAAATTGGAATTGATTTTTAAAATTAATTATAGTATCCTTAAATTGCAATTATATACAATTTTAACGAAAAATGAAAAATCTTGCTGGCAAAACGCCAGAACTCGCAGTCTTCTCTCTGATAAATAAGACGGAGATGGATGTATATACATTATGCTCTGTCTTGCTTGGAACAGATTATTGAAGAATTTCTAAATTTTTTGGTGCCCTAAGGCACCTTTTTTTTATTGCATTCCTGCAAATTATCATTTTTTGAGCAATTGCCCTGTTACCTACTTAATTTCAATTGAAATCGAGCTTCGGCCTTCCAGTATAGCCTCGAGGCTGGGCTGAAGTCAGAGAGGCGACTGAATCCTCCTGTCCAAATACATGGGATCGGGATATTTCTAATTTCTTTGCCAATTTACTATTATTTCTATAAAATGAGGTACCAAATTACAGAGGAATCAATGCCAGACTGACGTAAACAACAATTTCTTGTATGTAGTGAATATTTTTATTAAAAAAATTAGAAAGAATAATGAACAAATTATGAATTGACTTGCCGCGCTCAAATTCCAAGATGGCGGCCACATCATTCAGATAAAAAATCACTAATCATTTTATTTCTATACGTTTTTCGCCCAAAATTCGTGTTTGCGTCAGTCCTTGCTACCTATCTGAATGTCAAAAAAATCAATTTATAGTATAAAAGTGAATAATTTAGGAATAATTAGGAATATTGTATTGCAGATGATTTCTTCCGGAAATTAGTTTGAAAAAATTCCGATAGGTGACAGCATTATGCTCGCAGATGACCTCAGTCATTCATATTGAAAAAATGCTCAATCCGTATCCAGAACTGATGGTGCCCTGCATTTTAGCGAGTAATTGGTATATGTGTGTACAATACGTGTTGAGATGTAAATGTAGTGTGTCACACTACAATGCCCTACACTTTGATGACTATTGCAGTAATATAAATAAATATGATGATAGTTCAATCCTGATCTTGGCCAATTCTAGTGAAATTGAATGTAATTATAATTTTAATAAGCCGAAATTGATTCGTAATAAGAATTTAAGTGTAATTCTTTTAATTAATGAACGCTGAGGGAGAAGACATTCGGACAGGGCCATAAACCCTTTTTCAGTGCAGTTATATAAATATACTTTTTTTTGGTATTGAACCCTCATCCGTAAAATGAAAGCCTGGTGTTCTAACCACACAGCTAACACATTATCTCTGACATCATGTTTATGTTTATAAGTAGTATAATGCAGGCTTGAGTATGAAGGGTGGGGATAGAGCTTGCCAGCGAAGTGCCGGAACTCCCCGCGGACTGTTTCAACTACTTCTGAATATTTTTAAATTGTTCAAAAAAAAGCTACGTTCATAGAACTGTATTAAAAAAAAATGTTTATAACCCTTTTTAAAGGATTTCCGACTCGGCGTCAAATAATTAAATGAATAAATTGAAGAAAAAAAAAGCAAATCATTGTAAACAATTACTTTTAGCATGTTACTATTATAATTACATGCAAATCTAATAAATAAAGAAGAAAAAAAACTTTGCCACTATTGAAATCGAACACCGTTCGGTAAAATAAATGTCGAACCTTCTGACTACAGAGGCAACATATTTTCATTTGCTTTGTTTACGTTCAGATATCATAAGCTTCAGGCTTGGTAACAGAGGGTGGGGGATGTGCTTGCTCGTCAATTCTTCGAACTCACAGTCTTCTCTGGAAAATATGACGGAGATAGATAGATATATTCGGTGCTCTGTTTTGCGCGGAACAGATTATTCCAAAATTTGTAAATTTCTTGGTGCCCTAAGGCTCCCTTATTGTAGTGCATCCCTGAAGATTATCATTTTTCGAACGATTTCCCTGTTACCTACTCAATTTCAATTGATATCGAGCTTCAGCCTTTCGCCGCACAACGCAAGGGCGTAAAGTCAACTCCGGGAAACTTTCTGACTTCAGCTCAGCCTCAATGTCTTGCCTGAATCTGTATGGCACCCTCATGGCGAATACCGCAGACATCAGCTGTCAACGAAAAAATGATTTATTTCACAATAACCACCCTACCTATACTGTAAACCGTTGTTTAAAAAATACTTATAATAAAAAAACGAATGAATCAAACCAAAAAAGAGAGACGTAAATAGAATAACAATGCCGTGTTCCATTCGGGGATCACCCCAGATCACTCCAAACCGCAATTTATCACCCCATCCGCCAGGCGGCGATACTGTACATTTAAGCTTCGTACTCTAAAACCAGGTGGCGACAGTGTTCTTGACACAGTTACGCCTACTTCCCTTTAAAGATGCGCACGCATAGAAAAAATGCTTCGCGGCAGAAAGAGCAAACTTGAATTCTCAGATTTTCCGAAATTCTTGGAAAGTTACAACTCAAAATTCTCGATTGGATTCATTGCTTTGATTTTGTTGAGAAAATTTCAACTTGTGAATTAACCTAACCGTTTAAGGATAGGGATGATTGTGCCGGAACAGAGCAAACGAAAGTCAGGTCTTATAAAAAATATAATATCTTTATTTTCAACACTAACAGGTACACAATTTACACGGAATGACCTTTGATGTCTGAATACAAGAATTGAATGTCTTTAACAAAAATTAGAATAACAAGAATGAATGTTTGAATTGAATGTCCAACAAATGTTCAGCTTGGTGTGTTCGGTATTATTGACCTCCCACACGAGCTCAGTACGCTTCTCAAGTTGATCGAGAATATGATTGTGCACGTAGAGTTAGCCTATCTATGCAATGCAAAATAGATTTATTTTACTTTCTTGAATGTACTGTGAATTGTCTTGAACTATTGATTGATTTCTAAGGTAGACTACAACTTGAATGTTTCTGATGATTTACAATAGCACTAGCACTAATGATTGGCTCAAAATTTTACGATTTGTTCGAAAGGAATGTGAATGGCGTTTACACGTAAACGAGATCAGTGAAAGAATGGCAACAGGAACTTCATTAATCAAAAGGGACACTGAAAATTAGTCAAATGAGTGACTAGATTACGAAATATTGATTATTTGGTCGATTAGTTATCGACCCAGTCCCAAGATGGCCGCCGAAGTTCCTGTCAGCTGGCAAATTCAAACTGAGAATTAATCAATTCTCAACAGATTTATATATCTGTTTATAAATTTGTTTGATTTTTCTCGAGAGTGCAAACAGTGTATAAGTGATTGTGCATTGTGTACGAAAAATGTCAGCTACAAATATATGTGCATTAAATGCAAAAATGTGTCATCGAGGATGCCGCATCTCTCGTTTCATCGCTTTTCTAAAAACGAAAAGTAAGTTTTTAGATCACTTTTCATTATTGACAGCTTTTGTCTTAATTCATTGATATATTAATCAATTGATATTAAAAAATTTTTGTTTTTGTATATAAATACTTCTTTGAGTATCTTAAACAACTTTATATATGCCAAAGAAAACGATATTTTCAATAATTTTTTTTTTTTTTAATCAAAAGGGTAGGTGGTTAGATATTAGTCGATCAACTTTTTGATTAGTATTTATTTTTTACAAATAATTCATTGCAGCATTTGAATGTTATTATATCACGATTTTTTAAGTTTTTTGAATCCAGTTACTTTTTTATAATATAAAATTTTTGTAATATTTGAATAAAAATCAATTGTTGTTTTCAAAAATGCAACTTATTCGTGTTACCAAGAAAAAAACAGAATGGACGCCATGCGAACAATGTTTTGCCACCTCACTCTATTATGTCTCGCCAAAAGCCTACAATTTCCTTCGCGATGAAAAAAAAATAACTCTCCTGTGTGTTGGATCTATACGTCAATGGATTAATAATCTCGAACTCGCGACAGGTTTCAATGACCATTTGTTTAACATAATACGCGATGAAGTTAAAGGTATGTCTCCTCAAGAATGTGACGCGGTTTTGACCTGGGACGAAATGAGCATTAAAGAGCATTTAGAGTTTAAATCGAAGATTGAATTCATTGAAGATCTCGGTGAATTAGGGCGAAGAAATAAAGATGGGAAGTACGCGTTAGTTTTTATGATTCGTGGTTTTAGATTCTCGTGGAAATTACCGGTTGCTCATTTTATATCAGGTCAAAGCATTAAAAGCTCGACATCAGCAGATTTGATTTAGGCTTGCATCGTAAAATGTTTTAAAGTCGGAATCAAAGTTCGGTCAACCGTATGTGACCGGGCAACTACAAATTTTAGAGCTGTCAAAATCATAGGCGCTAGTGAATCTCACCCCTATTTTTTGATTCAAAATCGCAAAATATATTTCAATTACGATATATGCCACCTAATAAAATCTGTACGAAATTGGTTAATTGCAAATGATATTTTTATTGGCGATGAACGAA